TACCGTCTCTGTTTTCTGCCAGCTCGTGGCACAGTGCTGAGGAAGGTCAGCCCGACAATCATCAGCCCCTACCTGTACCGTAAAACTGCATCACCAGCACAGCTCAGTGGGGCCTGGAAAAGGCAGAATGTACTGCAAAGTTTAAATTACAGTTTAGGATTTCAGGACATATTCCTTCCTATTGAACATTTAATCTTTAGCATTGATATCTTATTAATTTCTGCCATCTTCATTTTCTCTCTACCAGGAAATAGGTTTAAACATCATTGGTTTTTTAAATAATTCTAATCCATGTCCTTAATAATTTTCTGAAGATCTGAAGTGGCCTCTGTACCAATTCCTACCCCACCCTGCAGAAGCTGACATATATGCCCTTCGAGAGCATGCTGCATGTCAGAGATCAGAGTTTGTTTTCCCAGCAGCAGAAGGGGGCTGCAACTCTTTTCTCTGAAGTCTGATGCTACAGAACTCTCCCGCTTTTAGAGAGGCTTAGTAACAGGAAGGACACAAGCCTTTTCTTCCTTTGGTTCTGTAGGTGCTAACAGAACACGTCAAAATACGTGTTGCAGCATGTTTTATAACCCTGATTTACACCTACATGCCTTTTGCAAGGTGTTCATATGTTTTGGATTAACCTCATTTTGATGGTTAACAAACCATTTCTTAAACATGCTACAGGGTTAAGTAATACTAAGACAAAATAAAGTTCTTCCACAGCAATCATGGGGTCATTACAGAAAAACTGTAAGTAGTTTTAGAATTTAAGCTGTGAGAAAACCCTATTTGTACCGTTTTCGAGAGATTTCAATTTAGTAGAAATGAGTTGTGCATCTTCCTAGGCCTAAATCAGATTTCTAAGATAGGCTTTTTGGCTTTTATGATGAACTGACAGCGTTAGAGATCCCCCTGCAGCTGAGGACGGAACTGAATGCTACATCCGCCTGCACAAGTATTGAAAGAGCTACATCACGAGTCTGTTGGAATCCATGTTTTGATTTATTCTGTAATTGCATACAAAATATAAATACAATTCTCCCAAGTGCTGGACACAGTCCTTCAAAGCCACAGTTAAGACAGACTGACTTCACCTTTCCCAGCATAGGCACACCTTGACTGGTTTCAGCAGAACTATGGCTACTTCTGCAGCACGGAACGTCCCAGGTTGAACCACCTGCTCACGCCACCAAAACAGATCTGGTTATTTACCATTACTGGAGTAATTATACACTTCCCGTAATTCACAAATTTATCACCTTTCACGTTTATAAATTCATCAAATTTGAGATCAGGCCTTGTGCTGTTCTCAGGGTATCTACCAGAAGTACCGGCCCATCTCCAAGCAGACTGTTGCAGGGTACCTTGGACTGGCCCCAAACCGAACTTATCCCAGTCTTTATCTTCTGCATATGTAAAATAAGGAGCACAACCACAGGCAAGGTCTATTCTGGAGGGTTTAGATGAAGAACATAAGCCAAATACGAAATTTTTCTTATCTTTAGCCATCTCTCCCATCCACACGCAAAGCACACAATTAAAGTGCCAAAGATTATACTGTCATATTGCCTAAACCCCCGAAAAAGTAAGTTTTTTTTAAAAAATACTAGTCATATAAAAATAAGTTTAATGTGTCTATTTATATGCCATTTCCCTGGCACAAAAATAGTCTCTGCTATTCTTGGGCACCTCATTCAGAACCCGCTTTCAAATAACTATATTCCAGCTCTTAAGTGAAACATTCTTAAATGCCATGACTGGCAAACCTTGCAAACTTGCAGGAACTCTGGTGCTGTGAGGATGACAGAAATCTATACTGGGTAATTCACTTTGTCTCCCACTACCTCCCAACACGCAAAACACGGGTTCATGCCCTTTGTCCCTTCAACTGCTTTCCTGTTTGTACTGTCTTGGCTTCACCTAGATTGTCTGCTAACTTAGGAAGAAAACAATGCCATATGGCAAAAGAGGTTCTCATCACCTGAGAGCTTGATTTGCTGGCTTTCCTAGTTCTAAATGTACCCTGGTTAAAGAACAGCTCTGCTTCAAGTTCTAACACTCCTCTCAATTCTTAGCTATATAAAAATAAGTTTTGGTTTCAAATAAACACAACACACCATGAAATGGGACATCTTTCTTCCAGTTCCGTAGTGCTCTGTAGTGGAACTGCTTGGAATCATGACTGCAGGGGAATCAGCTATGCATTGCTTCAGCAGCGTAATCAGCATACCTAAGTCAGAAACATCTTTAGAAGGGTGTGATTCCCCAAAATAAATCCTTAACATTTGTTAGCACCTTCTGTGATTTCTCCTCATCTGAAAACTGGAGAACTGTACTATGCTCTTTTACTGATTAAAAAAAGGTAAAATTCCGCCTCTGATCCCTGTCTCCAGTAGCCTCTACTCAGTTGTTCACTTGAGGGAATGTGTCTGAACAGACCTACTGACAGAAACGACAGACTACGCCTGGCAAAAACACACAGCCAGTTTAATCAGTTTAAGTCATAAATTACTACAATGCAAAATAGAAGACCTACTTCGCTCTCATTCACAGAATCTTTCCATCTCTAGGCCTGCTACTGAAAACAATTGTGTTGACAAAAAGAAATCCTGAATGGAGAAATTTTTATTAAAAATGTCATAATACCTAAAATACACTAGGGATTTTCTTCCCATTAAACACAAATCTTTCTTCAACTGCTCTGTGCTTCACCAGCCTGTCTTCACTGAAAGCATAAAAAGCCATCACTCCACACCAAATCAGGACAGAGACTCTTGGGGTGTTAGAGCCCTTGTAACAGGTGTTTGGAACAGGGACCTCTTAATCTTTCCTGCAGTGCCTAGTGTTGTACCAACACCATCCTGTAAAGATCTTGTGCTCCTTTGGATGTGTTTCTCCAGCACTAAAGTGCTTCTGTGTAGATTCAGCCTGTGCTTTTTACGGAGCAATGGAATATTTCTTCTCTATATACATCTGTACCACAACCCCTCAATTAGTCAGTCCCAGCAGTTTCAAAAAAGGAAGACATGAATATGCAGATTCACTATACATGTAGGCTTTAGAACTGGGAAGAATAAATAGGGTACACTTCACACAGCTTCCTCTGTAATCATGTCAGCATTCATCCCACAGAGCAGTACTGTTAGGGCTTTCATACTCGCCTCTGCACTAGAAAGGAGTGGATCCTAGCATTTAGGAGAAAACATGTCTGCTGATGCCACTTCCTTGGAGTCCTTGGTGGGGAAAGACCACCTTGTGAACTTCCAGCACTTTGGGGGAAACAGGGAGGATGGAAAAGATAGGAAGATCAACAATGGAGTTTAAAGGGAACTGCAGAATACACAAAACCCCACAGGGAGCTCACATTTTCTGCCTATGAAGACAGCAAAGGCTGTTTAATGCCATTGTTTTTAAGTGCCTTAAACAGTACTAAATGCCTTAATACATGAAGCGTGTTGGATGAGCCCTCACTATATTTGGTGTTGTATTTTTCTACCCCTCTGCTTGAGTAGTGAGAAAGAAAAGTCTTCACTGTTCAGAGTTCAGCTACAGTGGCCAGTGTCAAAAGAGCCAATATTGCAGGGGAACGATTTTCATCTGATTTTTTTTTTCTCTGATATTCCATTACCAGCCTTTCGATTGTATATATACAACTGGCCCCAAAATATTAGAGCTCCAAGGTACTTTAACTACTAAGCAGCTACACTTGCCTCTTCTAGCACTGATACAGCATAAATATCACCTGAGCAAATGACACATGCCAACATTAAAAGCTTAATGTCAGGTTTTAAAGGGAATTTAGGTTCCTGGCAGCACAGACAATAATCTTTAGAAAGCCCCTGCTATGTACGTGTCACCATCACTGGGTGGCTAAATACCCCTAAAAACGTGACCCTCCGTCCCTCAGCAGACCTGAGTAACTCTGCAGCTTGAGCTCAGGCCTTCAGCTGCCTGTGTTTTAAGACACCAGTTTCATTCACTGCAAAGATCTAGCCAGGGGTATTACCACATAACACTCGATTGTGCCGTAGCAGCGCGCTGGCAGCCTGTTCTGCTGTGGCTACACCAATGCCTATACATGAAGCAAGTTAGAGGTCCTGTCTGCTGTTTTAGTAGTTCCAGGGTTTTCAGTTAAGGAAGACCAAAAGAAAAAAAAAAGGCAAACCCACACACAATTACATAGAAATTTAAGTAAAAAATTTTTTAAAAGTGCAGAGTATGACAGAAGATCCATTGGAGGTTTGCTGTTTTGACAACTGTGTGATTAAAAGCCCACTAAACACTACAGAAAGACACCTGATGACTTAAATGAGCTTTGGATCAGCTGTAAGGGCATTTCTTTGTCTATGCACTGAGGTTGTTATAAACAACAGTCATATAAGTCACAGTTACAATATTGAAGAAATGCCAGTAATGAATAATACTTATTTTTTCTAACAAGAGTGAATAGCTTTCTTATGAACAGTAGCATTTAACAGCATAGCTAAGCAATATCCCTATGATAAATTAAAGCAATTTTTAAAAACAAATTACAGATGCACCTGTACAAACTAAATAAATCAAAAATCTTAAGTAAATATAAAAATATATATATTACAAAATTACATCTTCAGTGAGACGCTGCCTGTACAGTGACCTGCACCCACGAAACCCTGAGCGCTCCACTCTCTGTACGGTCGGTGAGAGCTGAGTTCATGCTGCATTTTTCAAGCCCACACACACATCCTCTGTTTTCTACCTAGGAAGTCAGGGGTCTATGGATCCATACTATTTCTCACACAACTGCAGAGTGCTGAGCAGGAAACAGAACCTCTCACTGCGATTTAGGAATGTATGCTAAGTATCACACCAACAAGTACTTGGTAAAGTTGTTTGGATCCCTCAACATAAAGGTTCAGGTATCATTCAGGAACAGTGTTACCTCCTAACAGGGTAACTAACCTACGCTAAGCTAAACAATGTAATTTGATTGCAAGAAATGCACGGGCTTTTAAGTCACTGTTTGCTTATGATTTCAGTGCCTTTTTGAGGTCAGAGTAGAAGTTGGCCAGGGTGCTAGACATGGCAGTGTCCACTGCAGACTGCGGTAGCATCCCTCGCAGCTCAGTCTGAATATAGCCTGTCAAAAGACTGTGGCTAGGATAGTCCTTAAGAGGGACGCAGAACCAACCGCAAGGGTGATTGAATCCACGGACAAAGTTAGGTCTCACCTCACCATAGTCTAGGCTTATACCTATCAAGGAAAACAAACAGAAAAAAGGGAAATCAGTTTGAGGCAGATAAAAAAGGAAAGGTAGAGTAAATTTAAAATGTAAAAGTTTCTGCTTGAGGAGTTCAGTACAAGTGAGAGACACACTTCAAACTTCTGAATACTTTCATGCATGAAAGTTGCCTGCTCTTCATCCAAACTCCGCAACACACAAGGAGAGCTTGATAAGCAGAAATTCTAACACTAAAAAGACATTCCCACTAGTCAGTGGAGCAAATTTTCACTCCACCTAGTTTGCTGTAAGAGCTGAGGCAGAGCACTCAACTTATTTCTACCACTCCTGTCCCACAGTTGGCATAAAGGAAACTTGGCACAAAGGAGTGGCTTACGGGTAAACCAGTAACTTGTGTACTTCTTTTAGTCTGTAAAATCTTAGAATACCTTTGAACTACTTGTTGGAGACCCTCTTACACCATTTTTGAATGCTTACTACAGAAGCATTACTTAATACTTAATTTGGATCAAATCTTAAGCCAAGCAGCTGTCGCAAAGTAAGAATTAAGCAGAGCTAAGTGGTGCCTTACCACATGATAGAAGCCCATCTTCATAGCTTGTAGTGTAAGAGAAATCAACAAACTCCCTTGGTGCTACGATGTTCCAGAGCTGGCCAGCAGTGGTGTAGCGCATCACACAGCAGTTCTTGTTGAGTGACAGAATAAAGAGGGTAAGAACACAAACATATCTTAGTACAACACATACAGGGAAATTTATGCTGTAGGCAGCTAGCCTTTTCCACAAAGGTCACAGCCTCTGTCAACTATGCTGTGCAAACTACTTCAGTAAGGTCTGAAGGGCTGTCTCGTCTTCAGTCTAAATGCTGGAATTTTCTAAGGACTTGCAGTCTGTAACTGAGAGCTGTGTGGCACCTTTAAACCATACTAAACTCCATCGTGCCTGGGAACTGAAAGCCATGTGGCTTAACCATTCCTCAGCAAGTCTGAAAGGACCATGAACAGATTGCAAGAGACCTCTCTCAGAGCTAAGATGCGCTGTCAAGTACTTTTAATCCACCAAGTGAATAATAAAACAGAATGCAAACAAGCCTTCAAACAAGGCTTTATAAAACCATAGATTTTATATAAATTTTAGGGTATAATTAGCAAAAGAACCTTGCCTTATAGATCTTCCTTAAGAGCCAGAGCAAAAGACAATCCATGTTTAAGCCAGATGTCCACAGGGTTTCAAAGTCATACTGAATGTCCCCAGTAACCAAAGGAAGGCTGACAGCTCTTACACAAATTCAGAGTGGAAGGGGTTGGAGGGGACCTCCAGAGGTCATCTAATCCAACCCCCCTGCCAGAGCAGGATCCCCTAGAGTAGATCACACAGGAACAAGTTCAGGTGGCTTTGGAAAGTCTCCAGGGAAGGAGACTCCACACCTCTCTGGGCAGCCTGTTCCAGTGCTCGGTCACCCTCTTCTGAAATCAACTTCAAACCCACCTTTCCTTAGCTAGTCCTGCACCTCCATATGCACTGTTTTGGCGACCAACACAAAGCCCTGCCACACAGTGAAGTCAGCTTTTCAGGAAGATGGAGAGGTTATAGTTTCTCTGTGTGCAGATTATGAATACCCAGAGTTTTGTTTGTTGTGGAACAGAAGAAAGCAAGCTGTATGAAAAGGCTGTTGGCATATAAAATATCACACTGTAACTCTCTGTATGTGAATTATATCAGAGGTCCCAGGTCCAAGAGAATTGTGACCAACCAAATTTTACGCCTTTATTTTTAGCACTGATGGAAAGCTAAACTTCAATTTTCAGAATAGGACTGTTGAAGCCAGAAGGCCTCATCTGTGGTTACCCACCACACAGATGCACGTGAGTGCAGAAAAAGGACTGCTCTGTTGTACTGTCAAATTCATATATGCACCCACACACATTTCCCTTAAGAATCTAAACAAGTCTTCACCTCATCAAACGTTTCCATGATGTCCATTGTAGTCATTAAGCTGTCCCAGTCTAGTCTATAAGGTCCAGGGCGAATATGATCCACTATTCTGTTGGTAACATCTTCCACCACTCCTTGAGCTTTGTAACTAGAGAAACACAAGTTTACATTTTAAATTTAGAAATTATTTCTAAATAATCCATTAATTACTGTAATACCATGGTACCTGGAGTTAAGGTCAGTGGACAATTGTATCAGAAAGACAATACAGAAAAAGACCTATGGGTGCATCTATTCTTCTCTGCAATAAATGTTATTCTGAGAAACTCTGTCCTTATGCTGCAACCAATATTCTGTAAATGCCAAACTCTTTCCTCAGATAAAAATCAGCATGTTTATTTCTCTAACAATTTGACAGAGAAACAAGGCTGTCCACCAGGAACAAGTAAAGATAAAAGCAAAAAGAAAGGAGAGCAAGGATACAATGTGAAAAACATTTTTCATCAACTAGAAATAACAGTAGTAGAACCAAGCTAATGAGAAACTATATTGGTAATGTATAAGAGTACAAAATAAAATATTTTGGGCTAAGACATTAAAGAACATTCATTTGTTATCAGGTATTTTTAGTAGACACCAGCGATTTCATTTACTTGAATTACTGGCCCTCCAGCTTCTGAAGGTGAAGAATCCATCAAAACCATTATTGTCAAAATGCCTCTTATTCATTAAGCTGTTCTTAGTAGTAGTAGGTAACTAGCCAAGCAAGAGATTCATCTATTCACTTGTGCAGTTCGCCCATATTCACTCATAATTACCTGGTTGGAGCCAATCTCAGCTGTACACTCAGAACCGGAGGACCCATGAACACACCAGTGGCTTCTAGGTAAGCGTTTGCAAATTTCTTCAAAGTGTCCTGTATTTCACCGGGCGTATAAACAACCCTAGAGTCTTCATCTGCACACAGCAGTCACTGTTCTTCTGGCAGTGGTTCAACTTACACAACCAGCTGATGCCAGTGTGCCCACGGCCCTGCACAGAGTCAGCAAGCTCTTGCTGTCTGGGGTCATAAGCTCTTGCAGATCTAACAGGACTTAAACTCCACAGAACGTACCAGTCTTTGAAACACCTTCAAACACTACCTTTTCATGTGATTTTTTATTTCTTCTTTATTTCTAGTAACTATTTCTCCACCTAGACATACAGATACCAACAGAACCCAGTGACAGAAACTGTCACAAGAAGGGGTTTATGTGACACATCTTTCCCACAACTACATGCTTGTTATTTTACTCTACTATAGTTGTGTAGTCACTGTGACACCCCAAGCACTGACTGGGTTGTTACCCAATCCCACTTCAGTTCTACTGAACCTGGACTTGACGCTGTGGTTTGCAGACCATCCTTCCAAAAGGTCTGGGCGTATGTTGCTGCCTACTTCAGCCAAGGGGACTTCTGTGGTGTGTTTTCATTGTCTGTTGTTCAGGACACCATGCAACACTAAAGCATCAAAGTAGAACACTAAAAAGAAATGGTATGAGCACACTAGATGATCCACTGAGCTTCTTTTCTGGAGAATCTTTGCAGCCGAGGGTTCTAGAATCCACAACCTTCATTTCTAAATTCTACGAAACACACTGTAGAACCTTAAAAATGTATCTGCTCTGTAGGTAAACTTACAGGTATCCACTGAATTCCTCTGATGGTTTACGCCACACAGTTGCATCTTTCTGAAAGAAAATGAAAGATGTGATGGTAATTGTCATTTGAATACAATTAGAAGATGTCCAGAAAGTCGTTCCAACGTTTTCTGAAGGAATGCAAACCACTTGATCATTGACTATGGTTCATCACAAAAGGGCTCATTGATCTGGGCACTTTCGTACACTTTTCTTAAAAACAGAAGCAAATATTTCAGACATCTTTTATTCATAATCTTCCATCATTTAAAAAAAAAAAAAAAAATCAGTCATTTGCCTTTCCCTGTGCCAAATACTAGAAGGCTGCATGTAAATGGTGCTTGGCAGGCCCAGCCAGTATAAAAACAAATAGAATCACGGAACCACATTACTAGGTCAAGCCTTTCAATGAAAAGTCAACTGGAAAGCCATTGTCTGGACACTGTTCAGACAGAAATGCCACATAACGTCTACTTGTAGTCTTGCAACACATCACCAAGCAGATGCATGCAGGAGGTACTGATGGTGGCAGACAAGAAAGCTGAAGCTACCCTCCTCTCCTAGATGCCTGACTAGAGGTGTCTTACAGACAGTAATCTATTGAACTTAAAGTTAGCTGGAGAAAATAAAGCAAGAAGTATCTTCTGATTTTTATCTAACTATGAAATGGAACCTCTGTACAAATCTCTGCATTTCAGTATTAAATAGAGTACCATATGGCAGCTTTTTTTTTTTTTTTTTTTTTAAATCATGATTACATAAGCACAAAGGACCAAATGTCCTAAGGAACAGTAGCATAAGTACTGCATCCAGAACTGTTTAAGGTATTTAGGGGCAAAACACATCTCCCTGGCAGGTAGCTCTGAATTTTTTTTACATGGCACAGTACCAAAACACAAGGGAGGAAGGGAGGGAAGGGAGGAAGGTAGGAAGGGAGGTTCCCCTGGTAAAACACCAGGGGTGGTTCAGGTGTTTTGCAAGGGTGAAAGCTCGTATACTCTGTTCCTCTCATCTGAGACAGTGAATTTGTTAATTTTGCAAATAGTCAAGTTACATTTGGAACTCCTGACCCACTCTTATCAATGTCTGCTCACAAAGGTATAAAAGAACATAACACCCACCCAAATCATTGTAACAAAGGGATGAAGATGGAAATTTTCCACAGTAGTCCTACCATGTTACTTCACCAATAGCAAAATACCTTTCTACATCTTACATAGGGCAGGAATAAAAAGTATTCACTCCGTCCAGCACTGATGCACCAGAAAAGTCTACTTAGCTTGATGAAGCAGAACCCAGAAAAGTCTAGCCGCTCAAAAAAAGGGTATGGCAAACTACTTGGAGAAAGCAGGAACTGCATTCACTTTGTGGAAGGAAACATGATACATTAAGCAGTATGAGAGAAAGAATTGCGAATTATCTAACTTTCTAAGAGGAACATATTTGGAAGCTGAAGTGTGATGGATTCAAGCATTTTAGACAAAAAGAGTTTCCAGAGGCTGGCAGAAACTACCTGCAGGCTGTGGCTGGTGTGTTGAAATTACACATGAGCATCTGCTAGTGCTAACCGTATTTCTCATTTTGCTTTAAGAAAAGCCTACAGTCCTACTCAGGCAGGAGATGCTTCCCTGAAAATGGGTAGAAGGGATGACAGAGTCTGTAGGCAGGAAAAACCGTCACCTAAAGATGTACTGTCCTCCAAGGGCGGTTTCACAGGGCCTCTCCTATCAAAGTGCAGCAAGAATTTGCCAAATTGGCACAACAAGCACTTCCACCCTTCTCCCCCCAAAGCGACCTACAGCTTCCTTGAGGAGCGAAGACCGGGCCGCACACCCAAGGCCACCCAAACCACTCACAGTTTTCTTCGCCACCCGCCACTCGCCGTCTCCGATGCTGTGGTACTGAATCAGAGTGTTCCGCAGTTTCTTGGCCAGGGGTGCCGAGTTTGGCAGGAGATCCATTTGCTTTCCTCCTGCGTGAAGGCACACAGACCCACACATCAGAACAAGCCCCCGCGTCAGGGACGTCAACAACAGCACGACGCGTTTCAACCCACGCACTGGGAAGAGGGACAGCGGCGACCCCTGCCACA